TAATAATAATAATAATAATAATAATAATAATAATAATAATAATTATTATTATTATTATTATTATTATTATTATTATTTTTAAAAAATTAAAAAATCTTAAAAAATTTATATTAATATATATTAATCTAATAAAAATATTCATAATTTTATTAATTATAATATAAAATCATTAATATTATGTTAATTTAATAATTTATTATTATTTAATATATATAAATATAAAAGAAATCTGAGAAAATAAATCCAGAAAAACTGGTTATTTATAATTTTATAAAATTAATTTATATAATTATATTTCTAAAATAACATTAACAACTTGAATAATAATTTCTTTTCAAAATATTTGAAATTTACAATCAAATAAGTATATAATAAGTAAGTTAATTGCACAATATACAAGTTAATTTTTCAGAATAAAATTTGAATTTCAAGAAATAAAAAAATAATCAATATCAATTATAATAAAAAAATTATAAGAATAAAACAAGAAAACAAAAATAAAAACACTAATACTAATGCAAAAATAAAATTAAAAAAAATATACTTTAATACAAAAAAAAAGAAAAACGCACAAAAATGAATAATGTCCAAATCCAACCCAATGAAAAAAATAGTTAAATAAAAAAAAGAGAACTGATAGTCTTTTGATTCATGACAATAATAATCAATATTATAATTAGCAAAAAATCCAAAAAGGAACACAAAATTTCAAATCATTTTGAGGCACCCATTATTTGAGCATACATCTGCAAAGCTTTCGAAACGAGTTCAGGATCAATAATAATGGCATCCAACACTTTGGAATATGGTCCGACTTTTTTAAGAGCTAATGTCGAGATGGCATTCTAGAAATTAATTAATTGATTGATTATTTCAATATATAAAATGATTTAAATATAAAAAAATAAAATTATTACATACCTCAATGCGAGTAATTAGACTTTCGGTTATTCGTAGTAATTCTTCATCGTCAGCATTATCTTTTACATGAAAAGTTAAAAGACCGGTTAAATAGTCGGTTCTTGAATTTCGCGTCCTACGAGTGTTCACATAGCCTGATGCTACACGTTCTAATCGCAAGCATAAGTATCCTAGGGAACGCACAGACGCTGGATCAAGAATTTGAGTTGATGGTTCGTATATTTTCTGTATTAAATAAGTCAAATAAAATAAATTTACAATCAATAATTCACTTGTTAATATCGACAAACACACAATTAAAAATAATCAACCTCTGATGCAATAACAGAGCTTCTTTGGTTCGCCTTTGCCTGATCTTCTTCCAAACGACCTTTTAGAGGTTCAGGATAAATCTATAAAAATTAACAACGTATTTTTTGAGATGCCACCATATTATATATATGCGAACGCTTGAGACGGTCATTTGATATATCAGTAATTACCAATGATAACTCTTCAGGATTTTCTAAACCTTTCAATTTAGTTTCACCGATTTTTCTTACGACAAACCCCATTTTCCTTAACGAAAGTATAGTTTTGTCCATACCACTACCACTATTAAGATTACCACTATTAAGATTAGTTAACGATAATATAGTTTTGTCTATGACAATATTGCTATTAATATTTGGTGATCCTTCAATCCGACCACTTGATTCAAGTGCAGCGGCTGCTGCTGCTGCAACCTCATATTCCCCTTCAGCATCTTGACTATTCTTTCGACTTGTTCCCATCGGATCATTTTCCATCATTGTCTGTAATAGGCGTATCTCACTCTCAACATCGGCACTAACACAAATTTGACCGCCATCGGCCGCGTTACATATCCTTGCAGCTCTATTGACCATTGGTCCAAAATAGTCCATTCTTTTCGTTATTGGATCAGTTTCGCATACTGGTGAACCCCAATGAATTCCCATTCGTACGCTTAATCCACGATATATTAGTTCTGAGTCGTGTCCACCATAAACCTCTTTACCATCCTCCAGTTCCAAAAGTTCCGTCGGCCAATCAGCTTGTAATAATTGCATTTGTACCGTGAAGCACCATAATAACGCGGATGACACGGTGGGAAAAGAAACCATGAAAGCGTCACCTTCTGTTTTCACTTCATAACCACCAATATTTCGTAATAGCCTCCGCATAATTGTATTATGTTGCTTGATTGCGTGTCGCATCGCAATTGGTATTGTCTCCCATAAGAATGTAGAATTTTTAATATCGGTAAAAACTAAAGCTATTTTTCCGGTCGGTGGTTCAATTTCTTTTTGCAAACGTGCTATGGTTGAGTCACTCGGTTTATCTTCATCTCGACGACGACCACGAATGTAATAAGTATTTCCTACGGCATTATTTTGATTTTCAGCTCCACTAGCTTCCCATTTTCTCGTTCCTCCGAAAATATCTTCGACTCCAATTATCATCACCATAATACTATCCTTGGCACCATAAGCGATGGCAAAATCACGTAGCTTCTGAGCAGCACGCATCAAATCTCCTCGTTCTGTATATTCATTATATGCAATATCCACTGCTGTCTGATAAGATATTCGATCCCATAATCCTCTTGTGGCTATTATAACAAATTCGTCTTGTTCTTCGAGTTGAACAACTTTAACAGTTGGATTTGCATTAACAGCCGGTATCAGATGAAAGTGGCCAAATGAACGTGACACTTCTAGTTCCCCGTTAACTAAACGTTTGTGAGAAAAGAATCCGCCCGCATTTCGAATTCTTGCTATTTCCGATGGTGTCATTGGTGAATGTTTTTGTGCAATTGGATCTGCATTCCCCCTGTTACGAGATATTACAGCAACAATATCACCAACATTTGCCACATATAATGTTGTATCTTTTATATACGCGATTAAACCGGATGCACCGGACTTGTTATCATCGATACCAAGATTTGAAGTCGCGTTTTTTTCACGCTGAAAATCCAAATTCATCTCTAAATTGGAGTTGAAGACTTTAGCGCCGAGTTCTTTATTTAAACTCAAGAAAGAACGGCGCAATGCCGATTCAATTGTCTCATTAGTATCTCTTATCTTTTTCAGTTCCGAACTGAAATGGAATGGGAACCAATCATGTAAATATTTAGTGACTCGACCCCCTTGATTGCTACTGGCACGACTATCAAACAATCCAAACAAACATTCATTCTCTCGATTATTGAATTTTGGGATTACGGCTTCCCAGGTGGTTAAATGTTCTAATTGCCCTAATGTGTCGGCCATTCCGTAAGCCATTGAATTCACTTCTGAACCAGAAGTACGAACCCGCCTGTCATCTGAATCATCGGGTACCGAGAGATTCAATAGGGTAACATCCATCAAACCTAAAACACGTAATCGTGATAATGAATCGAACGCGGCCAAGTTTCTGTCTTGCAATTTTTTGACTTCATGTAAATGATTTGGCTTGATTTCGAAACGTTTATTTCCCGATAAATTAAGATATTTCAACTCGATGTTCCAATTCCTATACAGTAGTAAGTTTAAATCACTGAGAATTATCTAAACAATGAATTTTTTCTCTAACATTCGTCAGTACTCACCAATTCCAATCAAATTGCCAATTCGCAATATTGTATTTTAATGCATTGCTACCAACATCCAACACTAGCAATTTTCGTATTTTACTTAACTCGGCCGGTAATGTCTGTAATTTATTCCCGTTCACGTGTAACACTCGAAGACTTGTCAATTGATCGATTTCATCGGGTAATGCACCAAATTCATTGCCACTTAAATATAATTCGGTAAGATGACTACTCATTAGACTACATTTCGGAAATTCGTCAAGATAATTGAATGCCAGATTCAAAACACGGAGTTCCGTGAATACGGATATCACCGCAAATATATCATTCCTCAACTGATTATCTCCAAGAAACAGAGCACGTAAAGAACTGGCTAATGGTGGACCACTCTTAACTGAAGAATCGCCGTTACTACTACTGACGAATGAACCAAGCGTAGGTGTGCTAGAATTCATTCTTTCGAACGTTGGTGCAACTAATGGAACTGTTGACGGTGACGATGGGATTGGAGATAGAGATGGCGCAGTTTCCTTATATGGTGCTGGAAAATATTTCAATAAATTACTACTAGCATTAAATGACTCTAAACGCTGACATAACCAAATTTCTCTTGGTAATTTTGATATGTTATTAATGTGCACATCAAGTGAATGCAGCGAACGTAATCGTCCAATCTCTGGTGGTAATTCAGTTAAAAGATTATTTGTACAGTTGAAGTGTATTAGTTTTTGTAGTGCACTTATTGTAGAAGGCAGCGAAACCAATTGATTATAACACAATTCAAGTCGTTCTACCGCTAATAAATGTTCGAATAATGTATCCGGAAGTGTTGTGAGTTTTGAACGTGTTAGACAAAGTGTAGTGAGCGTCAAACTAGTCCCCATTAACGAGAATTGTGTGAGATGATTTTGTGAGAAGTATAATTCTTTCAAAGAACTCGCCGATATATCAACAATACTAACACTATTTGATTCCACATATAATTGTTGTAAGCGTGGACAGTTCGATAATACTTCAATGCTGTGTATCATATTATGACATAAATTAAGATAACGGAGTTTGACAAGTTTTGCGAACGAAGCTGGTAATGAACCAGCTATTCGATTTCCAATCATAATAAGACGCTCGAGTGAACTAAGATCACCGATTTCTTCCGGTATCGAACTTATTTGATTAAATGACATGTCGAGCTCTTGAAGGGTAGATATTTTACACAGTACCTCGGGAAATGTTTTAAAGTAATTATTTGATAAATTCAAAGTACTTAGAGAACTCATTCGTGCAAAATGTTCTGGAAGTGTTTTTAGTAAATTATTGTCCAACTGTAGATTATTTAGACTTCTAAGCGAATCCAAACGAATATGGTCAAGATCTTGTAGATGATTTGATGATAATGTAAGCTTTGAAAGCATCTCCGTGTTAAGAACTGATTGTGGAATTCGTTCAAAATCATTTTGAGCGAGATTAAGCTCGCGTAATTGTATGCATGATTGAATAAAATCCGTGGGTAAGTCGATCAAAAGATTTTGTGACACGTCTAGTGAACGAATTGTATATGCGTGCTGATGTAAAAAAATTGGAATTGTTTGTAGATTTCTTGCTTGTAGATCAACGTGTTTATACGAGGTTCGATTCTCTTCCCCCTGTCATCATTTGACAAAAGATTTTTAACTATCTAACATATTAGATTAATGCTCAAGATTTTTTTTTAGTTTCCATACCTCAATTCTTGTTGGCATTGTAGCTTGTCGATACGTGAATCTCACCAAATAGCTATTATCCTCTCGACCAAGATCCTCCAATTTATCTGATTCTGAATATCCTACTTGTTCAAGCCACTTTTTCTGCAATTGAAGAGGACGTTCCTGTGGAGCTAACACGCGTTCTATAGCAGAAAAAATGTAAATAAGAGAATTTGCCACTAAAAATAAAAACATTTACAAGAATTAACAATCATTACTCACCCATATTATTTCTCTTGACATACAAATTATATTTCGATATGTCTTGAATAAAGAATTTTTTGCCCAAAATTTGACATAATTCTGCCGTGGTAGTATTGAGACTACAATTAACAGTTCCGAAAGTGGCGTCTGGTCGAAAAATTCGAATACAATACTGAAAATTAAAAATAAGAAAAATCATGAAAAACATAATATTTTATCAAGAAAAATAAAGGTATATAATAACAGAAATTTGTGAGAGATTTATTTAATGCTAATTCGATTTCACGATGATGAAATAAATCTTTCACATTAAAAATATGATTTTTTCAAAACCAATGCCATTCACCAATCGAATCCCAAAAAAAAAAGAAAAATACCAATCGTTCATTAGAAGAAATATCAAAATTATCCCTCTCATCGAATCGCATTCCAAATGGAGATGGCTTCAAAACTGCCCAAGAATCAGGCGGTAACCATATTTCATTTTTACCGCCGGGAGGAAATTCCCTGAAATCAGTAACATACGACTGAAAATCTTTATGATGATAATCTTCGAAAGAACCATGGAAATTAGATGTCGCGTCAATATTATTGTAATTTAAAATGCCTTCCATGTCAGTTAAATTCAGATCCACTAATAAAAATACATAACAAGAATTTTAATATCTTAATTGAGTAAAAGCCTTTCTGAGGCTTAACATCAATAAAAATTATTATAGAAACGATATCAATACACTCATAACCGGCTGTTGCATTATTCTGGAGAAATATTTAATCAGATTTAATAAATAATTAATATAACGAATAATAAATATGAAGGTATAAGCAAATTGAAAACTAAACCTTTTTATCCTTGAAGGAATCTCGTCTTTTACTCCTGCCCCAATGATAATAATAATGATCGCTCTTATTCGATCTAATCGAACTATTACTAGGTAAATTATGCGGTGAAAAATAATCATCTTTTTCATTGACTGGCGTGTTTAGTGCAGACGTGCCATGCCTTATTGACTCTGAATCAAAATTTTTGGGCAAAATAACTATATTAAAAAAAATAATAAGAATAACTTTTCCCGATGATAAATAGCGCATATATCGGACATGCGCATATATACATCTGTGTATGTATGCGCATGGTCTATAATTCACTACTCTTTTCGATAAATTAATATATACCTTCAGGGGTCCTTTCACTATCGGTCTTTTTTTTCTTGCCATTCTTAAGCCTATATAAAAAACCCGCCTTCTTTTCTTTAACTGGATGAGTAGCGGAATTATTACTACTATGGCTAACCAAATTCACCGAGCTACCATTCTCTAATCCCATCTGTATTTGTTCACTATCCGAACTATTTGTTCTTTTGTGAAATCCATGTCTGCGATGTGATGGAGGCTGAGATTCTACACTACTTGATATTGTAGCCATTGTGGTCTTTCGAAGGTCTCCAAGACCATCTGATGTCTGTTGGTGTACAAATGGTGCTATGTCTGATGATGAGAAATATCCATAGTTAGCTATATCATTTGGTTGATATGAATCAAACGATTTTCTTCGTGGTCCATCATCTTCAGGTAATCCTAATGCTACTATCGCATTTCCAGCAGACATTTTTCGGGCATGACTATGTGAATGTGCTTCACTTGTGCAATTTGAATTTGCATTAAACCCACTTGACTTTGCTGTTTTTGAGGAATTATGATGATTATTCGATGTTGACTGGGCACTTATATCAAAACTTGGTGAAGCGGGCCTTGAACCAAATAACGAAGCAAGAAAAGAAGGCTCTTTTTCCTCGCGTGATTTTTTTCGTCTGTTATGACCAAATGTTGGTGAAGGCCCGGGTGTATGTAGCGGAGAAGGGGATCGCTGTGGCGGCTCCAAATCTGAAGACCGTCGAGGGGGTCCCGCAAGTGTTAATTTATTAACTTTTGTCTTTGTCGAAGAGGCAAAAAGAGAAAGAGACTGGAGATTCTCAGGCTCAAGATAAACAGCAGACCTTTGAGAGTTTGAAATGCTCGAGGCAGATTCTTTACGAGGGTTTATGGGCAACTGATTTGATGAAGGTATTTCTATTCTTTCTGGAGAATGCCCCCAGCCTGAGGAAGTAGTCGACGAGATACTCGAGGCTAATGAAGTCTTACGATCCTGTATGATTAAAGGAGGAGAGGGAGGAACCGGGTTGCTCAAAGAACGAACGGGTACCGGAGCAGCGAGTTGTTGCTGATAGTTTGGACTAGTGCGTCCCGAAGACCATATCTCATTAACTGAAGGTTCAGTGATGAGTTCTTTAGGACGTCGTGTTTTTGACATTATCACTAATTATATCCGATGGCACCAAAAACCAGAGAAAATGGACAAATTTTGGGTACCCATCGATCCCATACATGGATGGTAACTTTTACACAATATCACGTGAGATCGACCTATGGTTTAAATATATACAATATTTACGTTTGTTAACTGCATGTTCTCACAGACTTCAAATCTTTGAAAAATGGATAGAATTTTTCTATTGTTTCTTGGCACAATGGGATTGATATGTCCAGATACATCTTTGGGTGAAACGATGATAAAAACATTTGTTAATACCGTTCTTCGAGATAGCTCGCTATACATTTACAATATACCATTCAAACCAGTGAAAACATAACATAAAGAGCAATCATCTTAGATCAATGGTATAGAATTCAAAACATTCATTCATTCATTCATTGATGTTTATTCGGAGGAAAGGAAATGGATCAAAAATATTGGATCTTTTTACTAGTTGCAACAATGAAACAGGTTTTTGGTTATTTGAATTTAGGTTTAATTGATATTTGACAAATTTATTTTCTCCATTCTACTACTCTAATGGGAATAAATTTATTTATTGACATGATTATTTGATAATCTCGCGTGATCCATTCCAAAAAAATTTCATAATGTATAGAGTCTGCTTGGTATCTGAAGAAAATTGTAAGTGCAACAGCCTATTTGGTGACTTGGAATTTCAAAATATCGTTTTTAAATTTGCTCACGTATTCACAGATGCTTCTTCACATGGCTTGAATTTCTAAAAAGTGGCAAGATTGATGTCTCATCAAATCAGACGTAAAGATGTCCTTCCCTGAGTCAAGTAAATAGGTACTTGTAACATCGGTTGTATATAAGATTACCGTCATACTTTTTTATACCAAAGATAAAAAAATAAGAGCACAATAACTATCTATCAATTCCAATTCGAAGAATATTTATTGTTCATCGATGAAATATTAAACGAGTATGAATGAAGAACGTGATGCTGAAACTCAAACTTGAAAAAGACAAACATGAGTCTTTTGCCAAGGAAGATGGGAAGGACGAGAGGCATTTGCTCAATACGCTAAAGCAGAGTCTTTGATCTTGAATTAATTTCCGCCATCACATTATTGATACTTCAGAATTGAGATATTAGTACAAGTTAATAGATAGTAGTAAATACACCTTATAAGAAAAGCTCATGACACGCTGCCCAATAAATTCCTGTACTATCGATTCTCGTGTTCTTATTATAGTTTTTTATAATGTCAGTGCATTGTTAGCTAAAATCGAGAATGAGTTTCTAATATTAGCGCTTTATTATCACAAATTTTATTAGCATATATTCTAAAAATAATAATGAATACAGGAAAAGCCACATTTTATAGATCCGGATTTGTTTTTTACATCCAGTTTTAACCAGTTTTAGCCAGTTTGAAACCGAATTTAAGGTTATAGTAACATATGATTTATTATGACTATTATGTCTATCACTATATCAATATGACCGAATATTTGAAGACCATATCAAGAAGTCACTATTAAATCGGATCGAAAATTAGAAATTCGGATAGAAGCTCTAACGACATGGATGTACTCCTTGCATCACTAACGTGTAGAATGCTCGAACTCGAGTGGTATATTATACGTGTTACAGTTGCATTACCATATAATAATAACACGCATTAATTGATTTTTACAATCATACGGCACCTTTTCCCCTTTAACCTTTTTTTAACTTTACTACTACTATTAACCATCGTACACACCCATCTTCCATTCTTTCCGTTCTCAAATACACAAACACACTATTACCGTTTTTAAACACCTACCTCCTCCCCTCCCCCCCCCCCAATACAATTTATTTCTTTCTTTTTTTTGAATTTGGTGGTTGTGCTTTTTGCGTCTAAAAATTAAAAGTTGGGTAAATCTGGCTTCTAGTCTGTTTCTAACTCTTTGTTTTTTATTCCATAAAAAAGCATATAGTTGTATTTTTAGTAGTAATAATCAAATTAAACAGCAATTGCATCTTCTCACACATTGGATTTTCGAGACTTTTTAGATTAGCAAAAAAAATAAAACTTGCATCAATACATTCATACACACACACACACATATATATATACATATACATAATACATAGAACATTGTAATAATAACATTTTCAGAGAAAAAAATCGAAAAAAATCCTCACCTAAATAACCATGTGTTGCCAGACAGCAAAATGGAAACTAGAGAGAGACCGAGAACAAGTTCAAGATCACAAATTTGACTTTGTCGACGTAAACGATTTTTATCAAAGGAATTGTATACGGAAGATAAAGTATATGTTTGTTTTCGGGGTGGTGTTGAAGTCGGTACTGGTGTATATTGCCGACCTGTGGACAGCCGGCATCTTGCTTATTTTCAACGAGTGGAACTCGGCAGTGAAACCGAAAATTCCGTTCGATGTCTCGAAATGGATTTTCTTGGGGTGTATTTTTATGTCGTTTATCCTGTTGGCATGGGATATGAAGAAGGCCAAGGCAATTATCGCCTCGGGTGATATTTCCTACGCGTTCACGAGTCTTATTGCGTACCGTTATTATACGCTACGGAGCTATGCGCATTTCTGTTTCTTCTCGCAGATTAATAATTCAAGGAAACGTTGGGATCGTATTGCGTTTTTCGTGTTTTTCACCTTCAAAGGTTGGTAGTTTGTACCAGGAAATAATCATTACTATTCTTAATCTAAAGATTATAATATCAAACCATCTTTTTGCAAATAGGTTGGAAACGTTTGATGTTTGCTGAAGCGCCACGTCAAGCAATTAACGCGATTACGCTTTTTTCTATTCTGCAAACACAACATTTCTCCCTAAATTATAAAAAGTATGGTGACAATATGGTACAACGTCTTGCTATGTTCTTGATGGCGTTCACTTTGATTGTTTTTGTTATTTCTGCGTCGTTACTGCTCATCGCCTTCATCCTATACCTTCCCTTGCTGTGTCATATTCGAGGGAATTTGAAGGAATATTGTTGTCACAAGATCGACAAGAGGTAGTATTTTTTTTTATTTTGCTTTCCCCCCCCCCCTTTTTTTTTATTTGAGATTTCAATTAATAAATTGTTGTTTGACCTCGAAAAAAGAATTGGTGAGCTATTAGCAAAGAAATCAAAGAAACGTATCCTAAAACAAATAGCCGCAAAGGGTGATCCAAATTATCTAAAAAATAAAAAAGGGGTGGCAACACCTCAGCTTCGTGAGCCCACTCTTCCAACGTTTGCATACTTTGAAGATACTAAAACAACACCTGCAGTGACCCCTACACTCCCGACACTTCCAACGCTTCCGCCTTATCAACAGCAACAGCAACAGCATATGCCACCCCCGATGATGTTCGAGGATCGACTCGTGACAAATTCACCTGATCCCATGTATGGTGGAGGTGGTGGCCCACCTGGACATATACCACAAAATGGAGTAGGATATGATAATGTTGCTGGTCAACGTAATCAATATCCACAGCCACCAACGGCACCATTTATGATGCGTCGTGAGAGCAATTCCTCGCTTCGATCAGAAATGACTGCAGTTTCCGGAAATTATAATTTAAATAATAACAATCCCAATAATTATAATAATAATAATAATAATAGCAACATTGGTGGATATCCGCCACATATGGGACCAAATCCACCAGCAAAACGTAGTTACAACAATTTAGCCGCAGCACAAACGGCTGCAATGAACAATTCACAAAATAACTTTAATAACAATAATTATGATGACGGGGAAGATCCATATGGTGTAGTGGCAGATTATACTACTGAATATTCAGAGTATAGATCTGATACAACAGTAATAAGTTCCTCAACGGCAGTAGCTTCCTCGACAGTAGCAGCCTCCTCAACAGCAGCTCCCTCAAGATATCCCCAACAAGAACAATCACAAATCCCGTCAAGATATCAACAAGAACGTTCTGCTAGATATAATAGTAATAATCATCATAATAATAATCGAAGAGGATATTAATTATAATTATAATTATAATAATAATAATAGTAATGATAATAATAAAAATAACAACAATGTAAAATTCTTGATATTCATTCCCCTTATTCCTTCTTGTATTATTAATTTTCGAGGTATCATTTGCGAAAAAATATTATATTTATCATCGAATCATTCTCAACACATTATAAAGTTATATACAAACATCGTAATATGTCAAAGTTTGATTATTTCTACTTTCGTCCTTTCTTTTATTTGATGTTGTACTTGTTGCTGCTCATTTCTTGCATCATCTCTGTTTACGGGTTTAATCATCATCTTTGCAAATGTGCCTTTTATCAGTGAGGCAGGATTTATACATAACACCCCTTCAACTACCTGCTCATAAAAAATTGTATTATTTTATTAGAATATTATAGTAAAATAAATATGTAAAGATCATTGCATCATTACTTAGATATTATATATTTCAATATCCGCGGATTTATCTTACCTTGACGAAATAATGTAAATGTCGGGATGGCAGGATAAGAACATCCGGTAGAACTTTCAATTGTAATCTGTTGCTATGTGTAAGACTCAAATTGACGCCGGTGTATGGTGGAAATATCGGGTAGAAACTATTTGAATGGGATTTATTAAAATGTATTTACGGAACTTACTCTATGGAAGGAAATATCGAAAGATACAAGTTTGATTAATAAGAATTCAAACCTTTGTTGCTCCAGCACATGTCGACACAATTGAACCATTCTTTCCGTGGTTAAGTTTCTAAGATTGAAAATGGATAGTTTATTTCTGTATCCGTGATGGAGTTATATATAAAAAAGATTTTTCGAACCTTTGACATTCTGCTGCACTTAAATGGCTTATTATCTCATTTGCACCGACGCCAAATACAATTTCATTAATTCGAAATTGTGCCGGATTAGGATAAAGAAGAACTCCCTAATTTGTATAATTATGCATATGGATCTTCAAATGAGTTTTCCAAAAAATCAACTTTTATTTGTTTGTTTTACCGGAGGAATTCCGAGACTATGATTGAGCGTCTGCTCAAATGGTGGTTGCGGAAAGACAGCACCATAATGTGTAATATCTTTGACACTTGGGATCATGATAACTTGCGAGGCGGGCGATGATTTAATAAATTGTCTTATTGGATACGAAATAAACTTTGAAAAAATGGTTTCCAAAGCATAATCAATCTCGCCAGATTTAATCAATGCATGATTAGATTCAATAAAAGGGCCCATCTAGAATTTCCGCCAAAGTAAATGATTCGTGCTTAACCAAAGTAAGTTCAGAAATAAAAGAATTCATCCAATTCCTAATGGTCCATAAAATAAAAATATACATACTAATATTAGGACGTCAGGCTTGACCGACTTCATATTCTCCATTAATTGCGCAAATGGCACAAAATCGAGATTACTTTCCATTGTAAATGGTCCGGCCGCCACAACGACAGTCATATCTCCGCCATTTAATCTTGCTTTCCCGTAATTATAATTTGTGATTGCAGCAGTTGATGTAACAGGCATTGGTAATAAAGGTAACTTTGCGTAAAAAATATAAGAAATCTCAATTTTTTTATCCTTCACACTTTTCAACCATTAAACTTTAAAGCAATCAATTTACCTCGTATATTTTGCTCACATCAAGAACATTGCCAGTAACATTAATTCCATCCACTGCAATGATCTAATATTTAATGAAATAGCAAAGATTAAAAATAAAATCGATATAATAATAATAAGTAGAATAAAACGTGCAAACCTGTCCCGGAAATAAAGAAAAAGAGTTTATTTCTCGAAGTGACAATTTAACGCGACGTCTTCTACCTAAATTTTGTGAAGACTCTAACATTATAGAACTTGTATTTAATTTTCCTTCGGAATCGCAGCAAATTCTTCCTACAGTTGTTATCGGTTCCTGAATGCACGCAAGAATAATAATTTGTCAAAGATGAGCAAAATCTACATATTTAATTCACTCTCTTTGTCTGCCTGTCTGTTTGTTGTCTAATACCTGATTCGGACGAGAAGGATCGAAAATTTCTTTAATATTATGGCACTTTTTAAATAAATTGATAAAATATTCGATTCGCTCATCGAGTGCTATTTATCAAAGAAATATTTTTGAAAAACTATCTATTAATTATTACTTAAACGGGCCTACCACATCAAATAAAAATTTGGTACCTTCTATTTTATCAGTCAATTTTTCGCGCATGTATCTATAAGGGCTACAATTTTGATCATCTAGAAGCTTAATTTCACATCTTTTCATTGTACTGGAAGATTGTGATGTTCTTGCAACGTCGATATGAGGATTAAAAGTATATACAGTTGAACCATGATTTTCTCCACTAGCAAAACTTTGAGCACCTCTAACATTATAGTTTAGAATTGGTGGTTAACATTTAAGCTGGGGTACTTTTCGGTGCAGTTTATTCGATGAGAGCTATCGAGCATAATCTGATAAATTATTACATACGCGTTAATTTCTTCATTTGATATTTGTGGCTCTTCTGGTTTTAATGGCTGTTGTTGCGGTGGTAGCTGGTGCTCCTTGCGCGAAGGCGCTGGATTTATTAACTTTTTTTTTAACGCAAGACCAGTTCGACTACTGCTAGGGCTACTGTTCATTTTTGAGCGTGAAAATAAATGCGACGCGAATAACGCGAATCATTTTTTATTATAGCAAAAATAGCCAATAAGAACCTAGTGTAGATAATCATCATTAATTGGTTGGCAAAAATAATATAAATAAGTTTATAACTCGAAAAGTCTGCCGATCCAGACTTTTTACAAAATGGCAATGAAAGAAAATGCTAACAAATGCACGATATATGTTGGTAATTTGAAACTTTTTAGGAACGAGTAAGAATGTGTGTGTTGACTTGAATTAATAATAATAGCCCATTGAAATTGATGTAAAATAGGCGGACTTGATGACCAAGTTGACGAAAAGGCTTTACACGCTGCCTTCATTCCTTTTGGTGAAATCGTTGAAATACAAATACCACCGGACCCCGCTTCTCGTGAATATCTATCAAATAAATTTCGGCTTGATATTTCGATCAAAGATTTCTTTTGGATTAAAGATTCCATGTTTTTTTATCATTTTGTTAATAGACAATCAACATCGTGGATTTGGGTTTGTTGAGTTTGAGGAAGAGGCGGATGCACAAGCCGCCATTGATAATATGCACTTATCGGAATTGTATGGAAAAGTGATTAAGGTTAATCTAGCAAGGCCGATGCGAGTTAAAGAGGGCAGTTTGAGAGCCGGTACATTGATTCATTTCAATAGAGAAAAACTCTCAATACTCGTTTCTAATTCATATGTTTTTAAATGTATCAAGTCTGGTCGGAAGATGCCTGGCTACAGAAATACGCATTAAAATCCGCTGATCCCAAAGTAAGTTACGATGACGATGTTAGTGACATTAATGATGAGGATCAAGAAAGAGAAGACACTCATGAAAACGTCAGAGAATCATAATAGACAAGCAATAAATGCGGACACTCATGCTGAGAGGTGAGTACGTGAGGATTTCATGTTGGTAAATTCGATTATCTCATTTAATGTTGCTGATGTTTAAACAAGTTTGCAGAACAAAAAAAAGTAACTTTTACACAGAATTATAATTAATTATTCAAAGTTTTGTTTCAACATCGACATATGAAAAAAAATGGTTTTTTTTCTATTCATTAGATTATCATCTATTATCTGTATAACACTCAAATGTAACACAATCCAAATTTGGTGTAATAAATAAAGATTACACATCATTTTTTTAGCTTGCATCTTTAATTTTTTTTATGAAATGTCACTATCCAAACCTGCCGGAAATAACTCGAAAATAACAACAGGCGAGTCCAACGATGGCAAGTCTTTGTTCAGCATTTCCTTGCCGAAAGCCTACAGCCATCTGACTATCACACAAGCAGGAAGCGCAATAGTATTTAGCACTTTTCTCGTAACTCATTTGAGCGCGACCGCACTCGCAAATTTTGGCGGTATTGAACTCGCCAACAGAACAATGCTCCTCGGTAGGGTCTACTACCAAAATCACTTACTGGAACCAATTGTGGTATTTGGTGCACTTGGGCTGCATATTGCGTCGGGAGTTGCCAAACGTGTTATTCGGTTATATTGGAAATACAGAAGACTCGATAAGCGCGAGTTGACCGGTGACGTTCACGAGACAGTCGAAAGAATCGTGACGGACGAGAAGAATGAAGAAGGACAGGTTGTTCGTCAAAAGATCACCACGAAAACCACGAAAACCATCACCACTTCTTTCATAACAAAAGCCTCAGCATTTCTATTGCCGTTTCATTCATTGGTCGGATATTTGCTGATTCCCGCTGTTATCAATCATGTTGGCATTCATCGAATACTACCGAAACGTTATTTCGGCGATTCTTCTCTGATCAATATGACGTATGTTACACTTGCGCTAAGACGATGGCCAAAGAGTTCATATTTGGCATATGCAACGTTGGTGGGATTGGCAGTTTATCATGTAGCGGGTGGAGCCCCGGCCGCTCTCAAAATTATCAAAGGAGTAACGGTGCAAAAGGGAAAGAACGAAAAACAATCAGCTACAGTTCCCGAGAGTTCGGAGAATTCCAAAAAATTAATAAAATATCTTCGTAATGGTGCCATCGCGACTACTATTGGTTTGGTGGGTGGTGGTCTTTTAGTTATTGGTGGAAAAATTGGTCGTGAAAATATCCGAATTCCTCTACGCAATGAATATTTGAAAGTATATGGACGCGTGTACCCTCATAGTTGGGTGAGATATTGATTAAAACTTCCGGGTGATTACCATTAAATTTAACATCGAGTAATAAAAAATAATCATCATCATCATTTAACGGGTAATATGAAATGTATGCTACATTAAAAAAAAAAGAAGTTATATTCATTTCATTTCATTTCATTTCTGAATGCTAAACAAAAAAAAAAACGCTAAACCAAAAAGGTAAACGGGCGTGAATTCTACATCCATCAAGGGAAACAATCATCTAAACAATGTACGTGCAACTATTGTTATTTGCTATTGTACAAATAATCATGATGATGTTGCTGCTTAATTTTTCGCGTGCAAACTGATATTTTTGCTTTCCTGTCATAAAATTGAATTGATTAATTCCAAAAGGAGAAAAAAATGAATAATTGATGACAATATACGAGCGAGATTATATTTTTTTCGGGCGTTTTTTTCTATCTTAATTTAAGCTATTACATTATTCTTACCTAACAAGAACAGACATGAAAAAAACAATGGCAATGGGGTTTGAATTGACGAGTGATCGAGTTGTGTTATTTTTTAAATATCTCATATTTACAATAAAATTCCCATATATTATTTTTTTTATTATTCTCAATGGGTAGCACAAAGATCAGCGACAACACATGTATCTATGGTGGCGGTGTAATGATAATAGTTAGCGTATACCATAAGAAAGAAAGTAGCCAATGATAACAGACCATGCCATTATTATTTTTTGCAAAGAACAAATCGCTAGATTTCTAAAAGTACTTTGTAGTAGCGTGTGGCCAAAAAACTGTAGAATATAGATAGATATAGACTATTAGAATTTGGGAGGAGGTTTTCTCTCTAATATAATTATTTAATTACTCACTACTAATATTAGCAACCATTCTTCTGTTACTTATTCTATTATACATACCCCCCCCCCCCTTTATTCACTCTATTGAACCTAACGCTTTTTCTTTGTTATCTTCTCTTATAACACCTTTTCCTCTTACTACGCACATACACTTTGAGGTAAAATTCTTTGACCTTTATTCTTGGGTTAACACATGTTCGTCTCAGACAACGAGTTTACCCAACTATTAGAAGACTTATCGACCGTTGCCACCAATTACAATCTGGATACTTCCTCGAATCAGGCTGCAGCTGCCAACAACATTTCAGCAGCCCAACAAAGGAACACCAATAATAACTCTTCTCTAAATATGTCTCCTCTCCTCACACAGACACAGAAGGAGAGTGGAAATACTAGAGATTACGTTTCTGACACGGTAGCCTCTTCGGCATATCCGCCACCCGCGCAGGACCCACAACGTGTACTGCGACAAATGATGAGTCTGTGTAAACATATTTATTATCGAGGTTTGATCGAGGGTAGCGGGAGTGATGTGACCATAAGAGCATTTGGTAAAGATTATCATCTGCATCGAATTATCCTTTTCCAAAACACCTACTTCTCGGTGTTGATGGAAGGTCCGTGGAAGGAGAATGGCGCAAATGCAATAGAATTAAGATTTGACGATGAAAATATCACACGTGACGCATTTGAAATTGCACTTGGGCGTCTTTATGGTCGTCTGGATGATGTTATACTACCCTCGCAGGTGCTTAATCTACTCGCCACTGCTTCATTTCTCGACCTACAAGATATATGTGAAACGTGCGTCGAGGTGATCCTACGGGATATCAAGGAAGACACCGTGGTTCACTACCTTACCTTTGCCACGTCACATTTTTACGGAACTCATTCTGAGAAAATCACTGAATCATGTTTCACGTACTTGTGTCGAGAAGGTTTCGATAATTTACGATTAAGATCGGCGTTTTTGTCATTACCCGCTGAATGGCTAAAACGAGTGCTTGAGAGTGATGCTTTTTGGGTGCCGAGTGAATACGAGCGTTATTTATTTGCGAGGGAAGTGATCAGTAATCGAAGAAAAATTGCATCAGATCAGAAGCGAAATAGTATGGGAGATCATCAACAAATGATGTATTCAATGGACAATAATAATGGTAATAGTATACCTGATTCACCCACAACTCCTACCCCAACCTCGCCAAGAATTAAACGATTATCTGAACCTGCATTCACATATCACACGCGAAGATCCGCATCAATATGCTCAACCTCATCCACTTCATCCTCTTGTATTCCAGTCGATAGTGACGAGCAAATATACACCGCTATCTTTTCCTACGGCATTTATTATGCTCACATGAGATTCGAAGAGTTGAACTCCATTCTTAATGATCGTGATATAATTAACAATGCGCCGTTCGCGCCAAATCACGTGTTAAAGGAAGCATTATGGCAGCAGATTGATCTAAGGAATAAGATTGAAAATGCATTAGAAACGGATGTCACGCTTGGTATTTCGTCATCGGAAATACCCCCGGGATTTCATTTCGAAATTCCTTCTGATGACACAACTCATATTGGGGAAGCACTGACCGGTCTTGATGATATGATTGGTGGTGGAACAAAAGCAATGAAAGATGGTGAGGGAAGAGGGAGCGTAGAATATTCATTGTTTGCCCCATTTAGATTCAGCGTTGAATTTGCTGATGTGGCAAAATTAAAAGAAAAACAACGGGTATATTCTAAAACGAAATTTTATGCTGGGTAAGCTTTCGATCTTTGGAATCATTGCATTTTATAATTTGCAAAACCTAAAATTAATCATTCTCTTCACCTTACGTATAAAGATCAAACTGGAATATGTATATACAAAAGATAAAAACGCCGAGAAAAGGAATTCAGCTTGGAGTTTATTTACATCGTCATTCAATGCCCGATATATCATCTAACTCGAATCTAAATGGATCATCAAGCAACAAACCTAATGGCACCACACCTTCATCCTCTTCTGGTGTCGATTCCAATGATCAATTTGCCACGCGTCAATCATTGTTAATGCGCAACATGAACAGTGAAAAGAGTTTCTCACGATACGCCGATAGAAGGAAAACTGTCAGAACATGGTTCAAGATCTTTTGTCCGGCAAGAGGTCCAAGCCACGTATTGACCCAGTTTCAGAGTAGTCCTGACAATTTTGCATTGATGCAAAGTTGGGTGAGTAATCTTTTTTTTTTGGGAGGATTATGACCTAACGAATGACGAAGAAATTAAGACTAATAATTTTGACAATATTATTATGCAATGTAGGGTTGGCGAAGCTCAAGTTTGTGTTCCGATGATTATTTATTAGATGTTCGAGACTTTGATTCAACTATGGCTTCGGCCATGTCAAGCTCCACCTCATCAACCCTGAAATTCTCGGTGGTGATGGGACATGTGTAAATAGATGATGCTGTTTAATGAGGGTATTATATTAAATGTTTATATTAATAATTGTGAAATTAGACTATTATTTTTTCCTTTCTTTTGTATATATTGATACGATTTTTCCCATCTGTAAGAGTAAATGAATGAATCATTGAGTACAAGAATTGTAGTTTGAGATACTTTTTTAGAATTATGTATAAGAAACAGCTATTAGCATAATATCATTGGAAATTAAATCTACATGCAAATTTTTTTATTTCTTGAATTTTTTGTTGAGAGATATCTATTATAATAATGAATTCAGAAAATATGATGATGTCACCATTAATCGATGGATGTATCACCATGTCAAAAAAAATATTTCTGATCAAAAAAACTATTTGTGCAAATGAGTCAAAATAAGGAAAAAAAGAATAAAAGTGCGGATAATCTTAAAAATAACAAGAAAAGGTCTTTAGAAGATGATTTTCATGTTCTCGCAAATGTTTCAGAGAAAAAAAAGAAAGGTAAAGAAGTTAAGGACATAATAAAAAACGCAAGCAATGATGTTTCCATGGATGATGATATTTGGGGGGATGATACTCACGACAATGTTAGCGTGGGTGACGACGATACTGAGACTTCGGATGAAAGTGATGAGGATAATGAATTCAAGGTTTTGATTTCAAATCTCTGATTAAACCTCGTTAAATCAAATTCTAACTTGAAGCTTCCAGATACTGAATGTCGACGCAGAATTCTTTGATCCACAACCTTCAGATTTCCTCGCAATAAAAAATCTCTTGACTCAATTGTTCTCGGCGGATTCGGTTCTTTTTAACCTTTCCGAGCTTACAGAGTTGATCATCAATCAGCCGTTACTGGGCACGACAGTAAAATTGGAAGGATCAGAATCTGATCCGTTTGCTTTGTTGACCGTGTTGAATGTTAATGTGCATCAAGTAAAATATACGTTTATATGAAAACCGCATTGTTCTTCTGAATTCCTTGAGATCATGTTAATTGATTTTTGCTCTGATCCCAATTTGTGAATCATGAATGGACTAAAGAGCAAACCATGTATGAAAACTTTAATAAATTACATCCTCGAAAAAACTGATCCCAATAAACAACTATACGAAAAATTGTCATCAGCAATATTAAAAAACAACGACAACGATAATAATTCTAATTCTAATAATGAACACGTTGGATTGATCTTGAGCGAACGCTTATTAAACATGCCAGTACAAATAGTGCCACCCATGTACAAAATGTTGATGGAGGAGATTCAATGGGCTGTCGACGACGTAAGAGATAAAGATTACTTTGTGAAGTTATTATTCTTTAAAACTCACATCATGATTACTGATTTGATTACACAGGATGAACCCTATAATTTTGAATGGTACCTTATCATTACGAAAACTTATCGTGAAGTTGCCTCATCATTAGACGAGGAATTGATAGATGATATTTCAACGCTAAATAATAATAATATCCATCTCCATAACACTTCGGCATCGAATCACGTACCAAATCCCAAGAAGAAAAAGAAAAAAACAAAATCGGTATGCATTCTTATCTATTTTATGTAATGTTGATCGAATATCTGACATTAACTTTTTCCGGAAATTTTCAGTCAGAAGAACTACAAACATTTTATTTTCATCCTGAAGATGAAATAATCGAGCAGGTAATATACATATAAGATACAATATATACTTTTTATATTTGATGACATTATTATAAATTAATTATATTGTCAACAACAGAATGCCGAATATACACACGATTTCAAACTAACGAAACAGTTGCCAACTTCTGATTCTCGGCGTGCATTTCAAGATTTTGGTGTTGCACCCGCAATGAAGGTTTTCCTGTTACATCGTGACAAAATTCAAAAATTGATTACAGATTTAGAAGTCGCATGTCAGTAACTATGTGCTTGATAACTGTTGATTTTCGTTCGCTGCAGAATATTATATTACATTACATTATAATTTTATAAAGAATAAACAAAGAGAAACCTGTCTAAATTATGGAGGCGTATATTCCGGTGACATCGGCATGTATGTGGGAGATGCTGATCTTTTTGGACGGGAATCCATTTTATTTTTATAATGACTGTTTGTTGTCAAGTTGGTATTATTAAATGAAAAGGAGTCTGTTTGCAAATAAAGTGTTAGCGATAAATTATATTATGCTGGGTTATTATTATGAATTTATAGTTATGCAGTGGACGCTCGATATGGATAATAACGTGCTCGGGGGAAGGGATTTATCATTATTATATCAAAATGTTATTCTATCAAGCGCATATATTTATATGGCTTGACGGGGGAAAATCTGCTAGAGATCAATAATGTTACTGCGACGAGCGCCCACTGTATTCGAAAAAATAAAATATTAGTTATTCACCTGATTTCCGCCTATGTGGTCCTTCGAAATCTAAATCAGCTTGCTTGTATAAACCTCGGGGATTTTTGAAAACATGCAAGAAATTGCAATGAATCCCTTTGGGACATTTGTTTCTTTCATAAACCCCTATTTAATTAACCAATGCATTATTTTTGATACAAGAAATTATATACTCGCAGGGGTGTAATTTCAAATTTCGGCCTGAATTGAGCTTAATGCGGACCGTGATTCGAGATAACGCGCATGGGCGTTATTTCGCGAGTATACGGTATGTTCAAATAACTTAAACAATTTCTTACCGCAAATAGCAGCCTTCCATTTTGTCACCGGGCAATACTCTGCAATTAATTGTTTCCCAGCATACCATCTTCCACGTATTGCTTCTAATGCTCGTTCAGCTTCTTCCTCTTTTTCATATTGTACGTATACATTACCGCGCAAGTGATGTTGAAAATTATTACATACCTATATTAATAATAAATATCTTGTGTGCTTTATTTCAAATGAATCTTCATTGAGGATTTGGATCTTGTGATAGTTAGATACCTTGAATTGTACAATCTTGCCATATGTAAGAAATTCAGAATGAGTATCCTCAAAAAATTCAAAATAATGGCGTTCCGCCTCCTCGTCGTCAAACTGCATGAAAATAAAGTATCATGAGAGAAAATATTTCCAAATATTACTGGGTTAAGGATTTAATACGGAAAACTTTGAAAACGCGGTATATCTTGATAATATATCGATAATAGGTATCACATTTTGGTAAGGAGTACATCGACCGTGTACAAAGAAGAAAAGAAACGCATATACAAAGCATGCATAGAAATAATACACAAATACATCTCTCAAGGATATAAGATCATTCATCACACGAATCCGATCCTGGAAACCGTGTGTTGTAATTGTAACCATACCTCCAAGTTGTCATCATTCTCTTCGTCAGCCAATTGCACTGGCATTCCCACGTACATATTTCTGACCAAGATAGTAACACTTTTTTCAGGGTACGGATGATATCGATCACAAAGACTGCCGTAACGACAAGCTCCAGTTTTAAGATAAAACGAGCATAATCGTTCCTAAATTTGATGTAAAGAATTTATTTCGAAAGCAAAAAAAAGTCAAAAAATAAATGAAGCGAATAATTTCTTGCTAATTGATAAGCAAGAAGAAACAGCAAAAGGTTCCACATATTATATATAGGATACACTACATTTGTAGAGGGCAATATTGGAGTAATCTTTAGAGATTTGAAAATAAAAATACGGTTAATAAGAGGAAAATTAAAAACAGCATGAAGTATCAATTACTTCTTCCTACATCATTTTTTTCCTTATTAATTAAGGAATCCGTAGAATTCGAGCTTGAATCGGAAGATAACTTTGGTTTTTTTGTTGTAATGCTTTTTACGGTCTTTGCCCAATTTTCCTTTAAAATTAGAATATTTATTATTATTATTACCATTTATTATTCGTGAAACTTCATATTATCAATTAGGTACCTCAATTATTTTTCTTCTCTTCGCTTCTTGCTCTTGTTTTTCACGCCGTTCGACATTCTGTTTCTCAATCTGCCGTTCTTTTACCTCCCATAATATTCTTTCAGCGTTTCTAAAATTTGAAATGCGCCGCGATATTATTTAATAATTCTCAAGATTTCAAAATGAAAAAATTAGAGTTTGGAAGTCAAAAATTTACCTTTTTCGCTCTACGGCTTCATTCAGCTTTTTCATAACTTCAGCAGATAATGCATCCTCTTTAAAAAGATCGTTAATCTTTTAAATCATTCAGCTTTAGAGAGACAACAAGAACTAAATGAAGAGGAGAAATACGTTTTTCTTGTTCAGCTTGTTGCTGCTGACGAAGCTTTGCGCCTTCGATTCTAACAAGCTTTTTTCTCTGTTTCTTTTTTAGTTTCCGCCATTCTTTACGTGGTAGCTTTTGAGTTGATTTTTCCAAATCTACCATAGTCTGCACAGATTCATTTGTAGAAACCTTTGCTTGAACGTCTTTAACTCCTTTTTCTTCCGTTGGTGAGGAAGAAAATTCAATTTTATTATGTTCGGATGGACTTTTTTGCTCAATAATCTCGCTACTCAGTACAACATCGTCGGTTGAAGAAGTCATGTTTTTTTCAAGCGCGTTCTATCCTTTAGGTGAATATTCGTACAACTGAGATAAATACAGCATTCACGTGAGACAGCAAAATGAATAAGCTGATGAATTAAAAATACCTCTGAACTAAATGCTTTCAACGTGTCAGCACAAAAAATGAATTTCGAAGACACCGATGAAGGATTAGTCGTAGTCAAATCAGATGGTCAGTTTGCTGTGCCTCCGAATGAAACACCGGAAGAAGATGCCAATGGTGCCATCAACTATTATGCTCGAATTGAAAGAGGAGAATCAAAAGATATTCTTTGGCGAGAAAAGCTTGGGATGGCGTTGGCAGATCAACTGCGCGAGAAAAGGGGACAGCAGATACGTAAGTTTACACACCGAAGCTTTATTTATTTCTATGACGATAATAAATTCTCTTGTTTGATTCTTGCCAAATTTAGGCTCGCGAATATTGAAGGAATTACCAAATGGCTATTCTCTATACTGCCATTATTCACGTAGAGATCAAACTGTTGATCTCAGAAAAGATGTATACCTATATGGTGAGCAAAGAATGTGGTGTAGTTCTTGGTAATCTAATACTTTAAGAATGAAATATGCATGTTTTTTAACAGGGAAAGTTGGATCTCCGCGTTTTCGTTCACCTAACGAGTTTGCACCACATTTATACTGGCTTGCCACAAACAGGGAGGAGCCATGCAAGTGTAAATATTGCGGAAAACTAAAGAATACGCCACAAGTTATTGTCGAGAGAAAAAGAACCAGAATGAGTATCACGTCAACGGCTGTTGCGACTATTGACAAAAGTAATAAAAAGCCCAACAATGTAAAAATATCAAAGAAGGGAAAGATTTCTCGAACATTTCGACTTGGCGAAATCGTATGGTTCGATATAAGTGACGCATCAGATTCCAATTTCGCGTCAATTGCTGGCCTGGTTGATCTAGACAACCAGGATCATGTATTACGATATTGGCCGTCTGTTATCCATCATGTCGGGCAAGAACAACGACAACTGCGACAACGCCCAGATACGGAAGGTGACAAGACGCTTTACACCGTCCAGCTTCTGGCATTATCAATTAATGAAATCGTAACGAAAACATCACTACGTCCCTGGCTTTTCTGTCGACCAACAACTTTAACAAAAGCGTCAACAGACAGCTTGGTTAAAGTCAACAAGACAAATTATCAGTTGTTAAGCTATTATGAAGCCTACGAAAAAGCAATCAATGCAGTAAATAACGTAATAAAATCCTATTGCCCCAGGAAAGACTACGTCTATGTAGAGACGAGAACAAGGTTAAAAGCTGTTGAAGAGCGAGAAAAAATTCGGATGAATCAAATGACCGCATTTCCTCATTATCGTGAGATATTTTTCGGTGCAGAAAAAATCAGAGAATGGGATTTTGTACGATTGCGCCCTGAAAGTCAATTATCTTCCTCGGATGGTTCAACGTCATCAATGGCGAATAATGAAGCTGCAACAGAGAGAAATGAATATTTTCATATATCTACCATATATTACCATCGAGGAAAAGGAATTCAATTCACTGGGGATCTATATGAAATGGCTCTGCCAGCTCTTACAGAAAAACCTACAATCGAAGAACATTTCAATTGGATACCACTTAATGAAACCAATGAAGAATATACCATCGAGCTGTCAGATGTCATGGGTCGCTTCTACGTAAATTACCCGAATCTTGATGATTCCATGCCTATAAAAGAAAATAACATGAAAGATGAAAATGGACGCAATGAACTTTTAGGTGCTTCAGCACCTCCTCCTGAGATTGACGATGATGATTATGATGATAATAAAAATAGTCTAGAAAAAAATTATCGACAGATTTCATCTTCACTCAAAGCAATCACCAAAAAAAGACCTTTGCAAGGTCCTGAAAGCAAACAGCTCGTTAAAAAACCAAAACCCCATGATAATCATTCGAATAGAAATTCTTCAAGGTCTTCAGATAAACCTCAAGAAAAAGGAAAGGTCGCAAGTAATAAAGAAGCTGGAAAATCCACGATAGCAGATTCAGCTCGAACAACGGATGGAGCTACGTCAAGTTTACGTCCTGATAATCCTCCAGCCAACGTGTGTTGGTCTGGTAAAATTTCGTGGCCAAAGTCTGCAGACCAGCGATCTTTGCAAGGGGCGCCATCGTTGTCTCTACATATACCCGAGAAAATATCTTGGTACTTTGGCATCGATATTATGGCATATTCAATACCAGTTGTTTCAACACAAAAACGGTATATAATGGATTTAATTGATTTATTGTTTTTTTGATTCTCTGTCTTTTCTTTTGTTAATTCCCGTATAATTCCCGGATATTTCCAGCAATGTCTATGAACATTTTCCGAGAAATTTGACCATTTCAGCTATATCTAACCTTGCGCCGTTTCAAGCTTATGACCAATCAATGGGAGATTTGGTGCATTTCTTCCCGGACTCTAATTATCCTTTTCCTGAGAATAATAATCTTAATTTTAGCGTGTTAGCAAAGACCTTGGAAAATAACAACATCGTAAGCGATAATTAAGGAATCTTCGAATCTAATTTTTTGCAATTTTATTAATGAACATACTTTATTTTACTATCACGTAAAAAGTCAGCAGTTGCTTCTTCCGGGAAGCTCACTGTCTTTTTTAAATCTGACGATGGTACCAACATAATTGGTCTTTGTGCTCGTGATCATCGGGAATCAACAATTCAATATAGTAGGAATCCAGCGTCAAAAAATTTACAATGCGTCAACATAAAAAACGAACTGCAACAAACAATTGAGATGTCCAACTTGAGAAATATCACGGATCTAATCCGCGAGATAGTCGAGGCATTCAGCATTCCTTTGCGAGGCTTGAAAAAACCCGAAGACATTGGGTTGAGATTTCTTGATAAAGACCAACAATTGTACCACGTCCTTGGAACATCATCTTCATATGAACTCCCCGCCCGCGCGGATTCTAAATTTACTGATTCTTTGGATTTTGTCAAAGAGCATGCAGCAAAATTGATAATAGAATATGAAATGCAAGCGTCAATATAATATCTCGAGTAAAAAAAAGAACAATTTATTACATGGCATCTGTCTGCTTTAGCTATATATCGAAGGTGATTTTATAATGTGTATATTTTTTGTACCAATATTCATTATTTTTAAATTACTATTACATACTTTTGTAAGACTCAATAAATAAAGTTCTTATTACGCTACACTCGCGCTCACCCTATCCTGATTTGTTCTTGATGAAGGTCCTGCTAATGACAAATTTGACATGCTTGTCATTTGCGGAACAGTTGATGTCCCATCATCCTGGATCTCCCTGTCTCCCACCGAATCCGATTCAATAAATGCACGTCGATTTATCGAACTTATATATAAGATACGCAAAAAGTCGTTATTCAATGATCGAACAACTAATAAGCTATTTAAAAAGAAAAAAACGAGGTAATACCTGTGTACCAGAGGTCGACATAAAACCCAAACACAATTTTTGTATACGCTGCCAAAATCATATTGATTCCTCAGTCCATTTCTACGCGCTAAAGAAGCACGAAGCTAAAGCAGCGCGACGCCAAAGATTAATAAAAATACAAAAATTGCATGATTGATTGTGACGCAGAGTAACGCACCTGTTCATGTGTAGTCAGATTATGACTAATTAAATAAATATGATAGCTGGACAACCCACCCACCGACCACACTAGCAGGAATCCGATAATGGTCAACACAAAAGTGTTCTTAGTCAAGAGAAAAATATTTATTCGCATAAATTTATCAAGAAAGGGATTCATATGAAAGGATATCTCATGGGTGCGGTCCTAAGTGCTCCTAAGAAACCCATATCGTTCTCTTTCAACAGTAAGATGATGTGCGTAATACCAAACCCGGCCACATAAATACATAATATCGTGGCAGTCGTGATAAACGTAAAGAAGCTACGATAATTTCGACGACCAATACAATTGTTAAGCCATATACAGTGATGATCTTCATTTTCTGTAATAATTATGACAAAAGGTAAGATTTTTTTCTTGTTATGTGGGTAAATATGAAAATAATGAAACCACACTACTAACCTACACAATTATCACATTGTCGACAATGACTACACCTCGGTGGTCTGTATATATTGCAAGTCTCGCAGTATTTTAACATCATATTATGACCATTGATTCTTATGGTTTTTGGCAATGGAAAGCTCCTTGTTGGAACATACGAATATTGTGATTGACTGAGATGATGGTCTCCCTCATCGAATTCTTCTGTTGGTGGTGATGGATCAAGATTACGTGGAATGATCTAATTAAATAATATATATATCTCTATTTATAAATATTTGGACTAAACTAACTTAAAAAAAAAAAGAGGTTTTATATTTACCCCAGGATCGGTCCATGATGTTATTAACATACTACTTAAAGCCAAAAGGAATAAATAAACAAACACAACTACTACAGCTGGTGAAACATGTGAATATAGAAATGGAGCTCTAAGCAATTGATTGATTCAAGTTAAATAAATAAATAAATAGACGAATTTGTCACAAACAAAACAAATCAAAAAAAAAAATACTCACGTAAATGATAGAAACAGCGCGCACGGCACAATTAATGCAAATAAAGCAACCAAAAAAGCCGGAAAATCCCTACTCGTGATTATTCTTCCACCCAGGAAAAATCTATTTCTGCCTGGCCACACTTGATACACGCGTTTCCGACTATTATTGTGATTATTCCTATTCTTATTAATAATAGTACGGTTATTCTCGGTGGGTACAGTTGTTGCTTGATTTGATGGACTTATTTGCGGACGCGTAGTAGAAGAATATGGGATAGAAAGAAATGAATTTGGTGACTGTAACGGTGGAGTTGTTGGTGATAATTTTTTATTGGGTGAGAATCTGGAGGGAACATTTGAAGGAGTACCCGACAAATTTGTTGAACCAGAAGAGGGGCGTTTTAACGTGTTTGTTGATATATCTATTGGCTCTAGCACTGAATCAATCACTGCTTGTGGAATGTCAATTACACTGTCAGTTCGGGTTTGGCGCCGAGCCAAAAGGGCACTTGGTGGCAGCTCTGGCAAAGAAAAGCTTGTATCACCGCCTCCTTCTCTATTCGAAGCTATTATATAATCTAAGGATAAGTCAAGGGACGTAGATATCCTTGGAAGGGTTAAACGTGCTAAACGTACTGCTCCTTCGCTAGTAGATTCACTTGACAACGTCGAACCGACTACCGGTAATCTCATTTGAGATGATGTATGGTGAGAAGAGCTGGGTGAGTTCAAGGCTGAACTACTGGTTGCTTTTCGCATGGCAGAAGCATTAGAATTTGGTTTTATAGGCTTCCTAGGTATAAAGAAGTGTTTCGAAGGCAACACACCGGTGACGTGCCGCGAATTAGATCGTGCACTCATTATGTCACAAGTTTTTTTAAAATCAAATTTGCTCGAGACACAAAAATTGGTCTAATAATAATTCTATATTTTGTCAAGTGTAATATACAAGCTGAAGGTCCAGCCAGCTTCGCTCTCACAAAAAGAAAAATCTAAATTATATCGATTCCATCGAGTATTACGTATTATTGTAAAAAAGTAATCACCATACATGACTTCAATGAACATCATAAAGTGTTTCTTGGAGCACTCCGATCAATCATAAGCCATATATGGCAATGGGTGATTATCAAAATATGCCCATTGTCAACTATGGTAATCAATCGCACATGATCATTTACAATGCCTAATTTACTATTCTAAAAAAAACTGATTTTATTAACAATAGAATGCAGCCCTCCTCCTCTTAACAATAAGGCTGTCATTTTATGAAGTATGATGTTTTATATATTTATATATATATAAAAAATATTATGTGTATGAATGTTTTAAACGTGGGTGTAAATTTTTCTTACACGCATCATTATGAAATTAATTAATTACTAATTAGTCTGAAAGAAACTTTAAAAAATATGCGCATAAAAGAAATACGTCTGTTAAAGTAAATTACATATGTAAAATTAATCTGAAATCGACGGGATGGTTGTTTTGATTGGATGGTAAAAGGATCCACTTAAAGAATCCAAAATTGTGAAGATTATGAATAATAAATATTGTAACGTTAAAAAAAATTAAACTCGCGGAGCTACCATAAAGTGGAATAATAGGATATATATATATATATACCTATATATAGTGAAAAAATAAATGATAAAATGATAGATTATGCAGCTCAACGATAAAGTTCAAAAAAAAATGCATGTCTTTTGTTGGACATAATGAAAGTCGTCATCGCCGTTACCCTCAGTTATATAATATAAATTTTTGCTCAAATTCTATTGTTATTTTGCCTTAGCATTTTGACTTAGCCAATTCAATCCTTCGAAAAGACCCTCACCAGTGGTCGCGCATGAAGGATGCACATACCAAGATCTTTGGCTCATACGATGTAGACCCAGTTTCTCGGTAACTTCAGCAGGAGACATTGCTGTACCACACATTAAAGAAAAAAATAATTAGAATAATATTAAAAGAACAACGGTAAGTGAACAATCTCTCTAACTATCATTACCTCCTGGTAAATCTTGCTTATTCGCAAAGACTAATAACAAACAATCCCGCATTTCGCGATCTGAAATAATTCGATGTAATTCTTGGCGTGCTTCATCTATTCGGTCACGATCCTGCGAGTCAACAACAAAAATTAGTCCCTGCGTGCCGGTATAATAATGGCGCCATAGTGGTCGAATCTTATCTTGTCCACCAACGTCCTAATTATGTTTTAAATTATAATATGATTGTACAATAAATATAAATATTTCGACTATTTCCGGACTCTCTTATTGGTTTGTAAAATAAAAATTTAAGAAAAATTTTAAAATTGATTTCGCAAAGAAAACCCCTCCCCCAAATTATTGTATTCTTCTTCTACTTCTTCTCATTATTATGATAGTTGCTGTTATCGCTATGATGGAAAATACACTTACCCAAACATTGAATTTAACATTTTTGTATGTTACGGTTTCCACATTGAAACCGACGGTCGGGATAGTTGTTACCGATTGATTCAACTTTAATTTGTAAAGGATAGCTAAGAGAAAAAAAATCATAAAGAATGTATTAGTGAACAAGTTCAATCGCTATAAAGGATATATAAAAGAAGATACTGAATACCGTGCGTTGCCTTATAGAATGCAGCGATTACGAGTACCGATACATTCGTAAATAAGGGCATTTTCGCACCAACATCCATAATTTAAAAAGGATTTCCAAATTCTACACATAAGATAATCTAAACAGAAAATGTACTTGTTTTGCCCGCAGCATCCAGACCGAGCATGAGGATGCGCATTTCTTTATTTCCAAAGATCCTCGCTAACGCTTTCGAAACTGACCCGCCCATGTTGGTAGTGTGTCTCTATGTAAATGTGATTTAAGGATGGCAACAATAGCAACTTCCTACAATCGAAAAAAAGGTGGTGGTGGTTTTAATGGTGACTGCGGTGCGATATGGTAATCGGATGGCGGAAGTGGTGGTGTAGTGGTGGTGGTAGTCGAAGGATGGAATAATAGCTGGTATAATAAATTAAAGTATATCTGTATATCTATAGTTTATAAAGGTTGTTCAAGAATCACACCTTTCGAGTACAAAACAAGTGTATACAGGGAGGAACTGAACAAACAAGAGGACCGAGATGATGTCCGAATACAAAAAAAATTTAAGAATGGAACTGGAAGCAACAGTGACGACGTTTCTAAACTTTTGCGTAGATTGTAAAAGACACAACAACATCGCACGAAACATATCTCGGTGGCTACACAAATGTTGATTGGTATAAACAGATATGGCTCGGACATTTTGAATTCGTGTCACCTATTTATTATGGCCGATGAAAAATTTTAATAAATACTAATGGGGAAAAAGAATTCCTCCTATGTACATGTATTTTGCCTCGTAGCAAAATAATCTAACACGAAGATTTGTACTGGGCTCTTGAATTTTTTTTTTATTTAAAAATTTGAGGCTAAATTTAACGGCAAAGTTCTTACAGGAAGGGTATTTTAAACAGTGCGCCATGTCACTTTTCTTAAATGAGTTTCCTGGGTCACCTTCTGGCTTTGCTTTAATATTGCTTGCAATCCCGGCAAAGATAACCTCTTCTTATATCACTTTTCATTATTTTTGATTTCATAGACGAAGTTTAGCATTTCTTAATATCCAAAGGTTTAAATATCTGAATTAGCACCTAGAATTACTGGAAGGACCAGGGGTATTTAAACTCTAGCATTTTTCATTTTAAAAAAGATTGAGAAAAGCAGTGGGATCTTTGTGAAAATTTTACCAAATATTATTTCCAAATATTATTTGAGATTGCAATTTTACTTTCCGATACAGTTCAAAGATTTTAATAACCAAATAAGGCTGAAAATTGCAAAGGAGAATACAATTAGCAAAAGATGGATGATACTTGAAATTAAAGAAAACTTTGAAAATTAATCAATCTTCTTTCTTATTAGTTCTTTAGAAGCAAGAACAATTGAACAGGATTATTATTCCTTAGGATTAAACATTTAATAAATCAAAGTGTAAATTAATTATTTAATAATATATATATATGTATTTATTCCAATAATATTGGTATTCTCTTTTTTTTATTATCAATATCTTTTTGATTAAAAAATAGAGCTATTAATTTTTTTCATTTTATTATTGTTTTTTTTATCTTAATATCAAATTAATAATATTTTAACTTTTATAATTACTTATCTTTCTCTTATTTATTAATATTATTATTCTGTTTTTAAAAAAAAAATAATTACAAAATACTTGTTGAACATATTACTATTTTATTAATGTCTAATTACCAAAGCAGAAGAATTAGAAGTTTATATTATTACTCAAAATAAAGCTTATACATTTAGTTGTTATAATAATAATCAAAGAATTGGAAACTATAAATGAATTGGATAAAAATGGTACTCGGGGGATCTTCCTTCGAGCAATGCAGGAAATGATAGGCATTTACTTATTATTGATATATTAAAATCCATTCGATGCGCAATAATTCTTTTGAGTGCTACCAAAACATAAAGAATTGACATGCAAAAAATATGACAATGGGTAACTAAAAATAGACATTACTAATGTTTATTTGATAATAAATAAATTTCCAAACTTTAATATAGGTCATAATACTCTTATGATAGTTAATAATAATCAAGAATCTATAAAGTAACCAGGCGTAACCTTTGTACCGACAACTGGACCAACTAAGCTCAGCCAACTTCTTAAATACCCGTCAATCGGTATGATTCCTGCAAATTCCTCTTTCACATTATTGTTAATCTCTTGAGACTCGGACTCATTGGTAATTGAAGGTGGAGCAAGTGCAATAGTTCTCATTAGTGTAGCAGTTTCGCATGGATGCAGAAAAAAAAAGGGGAGCTGAAGTGTCGGATGATCCTTTGGATCCAAGAGGAAAAAAAGGGAACGATGATCAAGTTAGCTATGAGTTTGTTAACTATTAACATATAGCCAAGAATCGATAAACTTACTTGTTGTGATAATCCACCATTGAATCCCGCAGTTCGTAAATCGTTAAGACGCGAAGGCTCGATGAGAGTTGTATACAATTGATCAAGATTCAATATACTACCGTCTAAATGAGATTATTTATCTTAATATATATGAATTCGCGTAAAAGTGATATATTTATTATTCTTACCAGCATTATACGCGTTAAAATATAAAACAGGCACTTTATATGTTGGAGAATAAAGGATATTATAATCAATTGTCAAGCAATCCTCATTTGATAATCGCAAAGCACTATTATCGATGCTATTATCTTGTTCCGAGGAATTATCATTTTGTGGAGATTGTATGGTTTGTGCTAATGATGATGTTGTTGACGCATGAATCGCCTATGAAGCTGATTAATCTCAGTATGATAAGAATTTTAAATGTTCTCTTCACCATATAAAGAGAAAGACTATTCTTTTTTTCAGAAAATAAAACCAAATTTAAATAGTACACTTGGATCATCTAGTTCCTCAAATCCAACATCTTCCTCATGAATTGAAATTAGAGAGTCCGCCTTCCCCTCATGATTTCTCTTTGATTCCTTTTTCGTGTCAATACGTCTTACCACGACGGATTTTTGAGATAGATATCCAAAATTTTTTAATTTCTTTATAACAAACAGTATTTTAGTAATAATTTATAGAAAATATCAAAGAATTTGTATCTCTAAACCCAAACCTCGTGTTCAATCCAAGTCCAAGGTTTATCCTCACCAGCTTTGATCGACTGTCCAATAAAAGCTTTCGCCGCAAGTTCAAATTGACCACGCGTTAAATATGGATACTCGTATATGCTATTCATTATTAGAAATGCACTAACCAGAACACAAAATTGAGTTTTTGATAAAACTTTTACTTTTTAGGTTACGGCCAGATCCTGCGATTTTTGATTTTGAAATTAATTTAACGTTAGTTTTAAAATTGATATATATCGACGTCTACATTTTACTTTTCTCAATGACATACAAAGCCATCATTCTCGTCGGCGGTCCCTCACGAGGTACACGCTTTCGTCCACTATCACTTAATGTCCCGAAACCTTTATTTCCTGTTGCAGGCCACCCTATTATTTGGCATCACCTGGAGGCACTTTCTAAAGTGAAAGACTTGAAAGAAGTGATGTTAATCGGTTTCTTTGAAGACTCGGTGATGACGAGATTTTTAGAGGATGCTGCTCGAGACTTCCCAAAGATGAATGTGCGGTATGTTCAATGTCATTTTCATTCTGATTTTTCCTAATCTATCTAATAAACATTTTTAACCCTGCTTGGAACTTTTCAGCTATCTTCGTGAATATCAGGCATTGGGTACTGCAGGTGGTCTCTATCATTTTCGGGACGAAATATTGCGCGGTGATCCACAACAACTTTTTGTCCTTAATGCTGACGTGGCATGCAGTTTCCCGCTCAATGATATGATGCAGTTTCATAATAAACATCGTGGACTATGTACGATTCTTGGTACAAAAGTATGTGGAATAATTTTTTATCACCTTCTAAATATTAAAAAATTTACTAAGATTAATATTCCACTAGGTAGCTAGGGAAAACGCCAATAAATTTGGTTGTCTTGTTGCGAAACCAGATAGCAACGAAGTGCTACATTACGTTGAAAAACCAGAGAGCTTTATTTCCGATCTGATCAGTTGCGGTATATATCTATTTGACTGTGCTGTGTTTAATGAAATGAAAAAAGCAATGTTAAACAAGACAACCAATGTCGAGTATCCTTTTTATTTGAAAAAATCTCATCTTGACTCGGTTAAAAATTACTAGTAATTTATTTGACATAACCAACTGATAAATTAAATATATCTCTTATAGTCAGGATCCTTATCAAGCTCAGGATGATAAACTTCGATTAGAACAAGATTTGTTTCGCCCTCTGGCCGAGTCAAAAAAACTTTATGTATACGTTACCACAGGATTTTGGAAACAGATCAAGACGGCTGGGTATTTAAGATAGATGTCAGTTTTTTTTAATTTTTATGCCGTCGTCATGATTGATTAATATTTTTTTTTTTGGTACCATTAGTTCTGCAGTTCCGGCCAATGCGCTCTACCTTGAACAATACTCGAAAACATCTCCCGATAGGCTAGCGAAAAACAATATAGATGGCAAAGGACCAGAGATAGTAGGACACGTGTATATACACCCCACTGCTACTGTAGACCCTCGCTCAAAGGTATTTACAGATAAATTTTTGTTTACATGAGAGCAAAATTATTCTTTCAAGAGTTTAGATTTTAATTCTTTGAATTAACTTTCTTATGACACCAAGATTGGTCCCAATGTGACCATAGGGCCACGCGCTTTTATTGGAAAGGGCGTACGAATCAGGGATTCGATAATCCTCGACAACGCCGAAATAAAAAGCAATAGTTGTGTCCTCCATAGCATTATCGGATGGGATTCAAAAGTGGGAAACTGGGCGCGCGTTGAAGGAACTCCTACGGAAAATTATTCGACGACTATTACTGAGAACGGGGTGAAAGTGCAATCTATTACTATTCTAGGTATGAATGTGATCGATTTTTTTTGCCGTTTATGAAAAGTGTTAAATTTTAGTTCTCTAATGAAATACCTAATCTTATGTTAATAGCCAAAGAAGTTATTGTCAAAGATGAGATTATAATTCGAAATTGTATTGTGCTGCCTCATAAAGAATTGAAAAATAGTTTTCATAATGAAATTCTTATGTGAAATTTTATCGGACTAGACCGGATTTAAAAGAGGATGATTAAGTTTAATCGTTATATGTTGAAAAATTAGAATGTTTTAATATTTGATTCATCGCCGTTTATTTAATCGTATTTAAATTCTTTAATCTTATTTAAAATTCAGTATCGAATAATAAAATTTTCTGATTATAAATTTATGACGTCATCGACCAAAAATTTTTTTTAATTGTGCACAACTCGAAAAATTCATTTTTATCATGTCTTTGAGTAAAAAACTTGGTTCGATTTTTACCTCAGAAACTCGTAATTTGTCACCAAAAGTGGAAAAATGGCTCGTAAAAAAATCTGCGGGAGAAAAAGCAAAAACAGTAGATAAATCACAAACATCAACAGAAATAACACAACCCTCAACAGAAATAACCAACGCATCACAATCATCAAAATACCCAACTTTAAGAGAACGTAAGATGCTAAAAGATGGTCTCACATTGCAACATGTACAATATCATCACTCTCTTTGCTGTGTATAGTATATGAATTTATTTTTAAAGCAGTTGATCTGACTTAAAATTATTTTTCGTTAGTTCATATTAAAACCTCAAGTATTACAATTATATAAAGAAATTCTAGCGACTATAGAATGTGGGTATACACACATTTATTTTTAATTGATTCTGGTCTCTTAGTAAATTGTGCACTTTAATAATCATAGGGATGGATGACCCACAAGCCGCTAAAGAACTTAGAATATGGGTCAGGCAGGAATTCGAAAGATACAGGCATGAAAAAGATATAGTAAGTCGTTATCTATACTACATTCCATTCTCTTTTATTAATTGCTCACACTGAATTTTCATGGTTTTTTAAAAGCAAAAAATACGCTATCTTTTGTATAATGGGAGAGACGAGTTAAGAGAGATGAGGACAGGCTTGTTTCTGGGCATTAGCAAACCTAAGAAAAGGGGAATGCGCTTAAATGAATAGAGTCACATGTTTAATTTCATTTAATGCTCCCTATAATTGTCTCATAGAGTCAACCTGTATTTATGTAATATAACAAGGAGCAATTGTATTTATATAATAATAGAATTATTTCCACATTGTCTTCATTAACATAAATATAACTACTGTCTTAGACGTGCGCGCGCACAAAATTTAGCAAATTATGACAAATACAACAACGTCGACTCCCTTTATTTTACCTATCATTAATTTGGGTCTTTACCTAGACGACAAAAATTCAACGAAAGCAATAGAAGAGTGCAAAAAGGTTTTTTAAAATACGATTTATTAAATGTGTTTATGGATGGGATTGGATTCTTCTCTTTTAAAACAATGATCAATTTCGCGTCTTGATCTTGTTTTAGACGGCAAATGCATTACGCGATTATGGCGCGTTACTGGTCAAAGATCCACGTGTAACTGAAGAAGATAATGCGCGATTCTTGGTTCTTATGCTTCTCATTTTATGAATAGATGCATAATTTTCTCTTATAAATCAATTGTTATTGATCTTTGTTATCCCGTTGATTAGGATTTAGTGGAGGATTACTTTGCACAGCCATTCGATGTTCGTTACTCGTTTTATTGTTGAAATTTGATTTCATATGATGATGATACACACGATCGTGAAACACTTGTTTCTTTTAGATTAAATTGCAAGATGCGCGTCCAGAATTCGGATATCAAGTTGGGGTGACACCTGAATTTACCGAGGAACCTAAATGCAAGCGAGATCCTCATTGTCAAGATGTTATTGCAAAGGTCTATCATTTTAAAAAATTATATTTTGATGCAGGAGTAGCTAAGCGCGTAAATAACAGTGATATCAACAATACAGATTCCAGTTTCGAACAAACCATTGGAATTCGTAGGACCAGATCCGAAATGGAGATTCTTTTGGCGAATTGGAGGGCAGCCTAAGCAAACTAAATTTCCAAGATTGAATGCAGACCCGGTGATTCCAGCTGGTAATTTTTCGGTTTTTTGTTAAATCATTAGCTCTTCTTTTCTTTCTGACTTGGTTTGTCGATTTGGGATAAAGCATTCAAAGATGAATGGCCAAAGACCATGGATACTTGGGGAGCTCAAATGCATCAAGCAGTCTTGGGAATCACAGAAATGGCGTCAGCTGGATTCGGTATGGACGCGAATACATTACCCGATATGACTAAATTTGGTCCTCATTTACTTGCACCGACTGCAAGTGATCTTGAAAAATTTGGGAAAGTAGGGACTGTTTTGGCTGGTCTGTTGAATGAATCGTCGTTTTAAAAAAATTTGGTCTTTGCCTGATTCTAAAACAGCCTCTTGTAAATTCAATTCAGGATTTCATTACGATCTGAATTTTTTGTAAGTTGTTTTTTTATGATTATTTCAGTAGATTATGACAATATAATAGATATGTTTTCTCTAATTAAATACTGCAGAACCATTCATGGCAAATCACGTTTCCCTGGATTAAATATATGGCCACGAAACGGCGCAGAAAAAATCGCGGTTCGAGTACCAGATGGACATTTGTTGGTTCAAGCAGGTAAGCAATTCGAATGGTTAACCGGTGGTGAAGTCATGGCTGGATATCACGAAGTAGTGGTGACTGAAGACACGCTCAAGGTAAATAGTAGATTTTTAGCATTGTTTATGTTTCTCATGATGATCGAGACAATTTGATTTTTTTGTAAATAGACTATTGAAAAGGTAAAAATTACACGTCCGGATCGACCTCTTTGGCGTATTTCGTCGACTTTCTTCCTGCATATTGCAAGCGATGAATTATTGAGACCTTTGAAACCGTTTAAAGGAGATCCCATCCGTTATCCTCCTACTTTAGCGGGTGACCAAGTCAAATATGAATTGGGTCTCATAGAGTTAATGAAATCATAAGAGAACGGAGCAAGAAATTAATGCAATTATTTAAGTACTCGAGGTGTCTTTTTATTGTGAAGACATAATTTATTCATCTAAAATAAATATGCTTTTATGATACTATTTATTTTGCTAAACAATTAAAGAATTCCCCACATATGTATGTCCAGAAAATATTTTCTCGAATAATTTTTAATCTACTTAAGTTTCTTTTTGGGACGTAATTGGTTGGTATGACCGCACTAATTCGATTCAATTCAAATAATTATTAATAATCAATGTGGACGTGAATATAAATTATATATTATTTATCACCTTCTTCTTACGGCAGTTGGTAGCACGAGGGGGGAGTCGCGCATAGCATTTACGGCAAATCATTTTTTCACAGTTGTATTTCGAAGCCAATGCTTTAAGCGACGGTTCGATGAGACCACCACGTAATCGAAGCACAAGATGTAAGGTTGATTCCTTTTGAATATTGTAATCGGAGAGAGTTCGACCATCTTCAAGCTATTTGTTGATTGATAAATATAATAATCAATAAATTTGCTATCTTTCTAAAATAATAAAAGTTGTCGGATTAGATATGAACCTGTTTTCCAGCGAAAATTAAGCGCTGCTGGTCCGGAGGAATTCCTATTGAAAAAATGAAAATAACAAATTAATAAAATAATCCAAATCATACCAATCAAAAAATTTCGGATTGAATTTTGTTAAATATACCTTCTTTATCTTGAATTTTCTGTTTTACATTGTCAATGGTATCCGAACTGCACAAATCAAAAATATCAAGTTTATTAATTTATGATCAGATTTGCAACGTCCAAAACATTCAATGTCACTTACTTACCTTTCAACCTCGAGGGTAATCGTCTTGCCTGTGAGAGTTTTTACAAAGATTTGCATTTCTATTTATACAAGGCACAAGAAAAAAAATATGAAAATTAAAACATTTGCTTAATAATATTTCAAAGATGGATTACTACAATCAAGTAAATAAAAGAATTAGAATCAAACTAGATACTTGCTGTATTACTCTACTTGAATCTAAAGAAAAAGTCGAAAATTGTTTAATCTTTTCTTTTTTTTGGCAACTCCTGAAATGTGTGGCAGGTTATGCCGAATATGTTGTTTAAAGTAAATGGCACGGGTGGCACAACCCAATAAAAATGTGTAAATTTTTTGGTCAACCCGACAATACAAAACGCATGGTGGCGGAGACATTAAATGATGGGGAGTTCACTAGCTCTCAATGGGGATAGCTCAAGAGGGACGAAGCTATGGTTATCTCAGTAGCGCATATACACATTAAGTATAAGGTGTCATGTAGAAGTGTGCATCAATTTTGAGTAGTATAATAATATTGGGCAAATGAACTTCACTAATTATAATTGAATGCTTATCACATGATCTAATTTACTATCAATTTCGACGGAGCAAACAAACCATAGGCTCGAATTGCGAACGTCACGTCGTGAATGATCCCTCCCGATTAATTCAGTTGGGGTACTTACGTTTATAAATTTCACGTAATGTGACCAAGCAAGTGAATTAGGATCCTTAAACATCTTCAACACGCGTTTCCAGTTTCGTGTAGATAAACTTTTGATGTTGTACACCTCGCTGGCGGTATACTCAACTTCCCAATTCAATTCACCTTCATCGTTTGCATATGTTACGTTTGCATAGTATTGGGTGTAGTCGATGAGTTTTCCAAAGGAGGCTGGGGAGGTAGAGTATGTGTATTCACGAATTGCTGGGTTTTTCACTGATTTTATTAACAACATTAATAAATTTAAGTAAAGAAAAAACACGATATTTGGTTAAAACAGCAGATGATTTCTTATTACCAGGCACGAGAGACGGTGCAGTTGGCGACGCTAGCACTATTTCCCTTTGGTCAAGGTGGAAAGGTCGTTGGTCACCTTTCAACGTGTAGAATTCGTAATTGTGCTTTCTCGATTTTAGGAGAAATGTTAGTAAATCCTTGTTTATGTGTCCTAGATGATATTAATATGATTAAAAATAATAAACGTGATAAAAAAGATTTATTCAGTCTATTAAAAGATCGTATTACCCGTAAAATGCCCAGATATAATATCCGCATATTTTCCCAATAGATTGGCATACGCTTGTAAGCATTCGGGATAATAATCACCTTTGAATTGTAATCAGTTTTTCAAACAGAATTAATTATTTAAAAAAAAATCTTTTTATTAAAAACATCTTAATATACCTTCAGGATGTATCGGAGGTATATGTTGCATAATATATACTTTTCTTCCTTCTTTTCTCACCATTGCTAATTGCTGCTCTGCCCATTCGATCTGCACCGCACCCGCGGAACCCTCTTTATCACAGTCACGCACCAATGTGTTCGACTTGTAGAAAAGATTCGAGTTCAAACTTAATACAGTGAGAGGCTGAGAAAATCGCGATAATGATTGTGATCTATCAAGATCATGTCGAAAGTAACCGCCACGTATAAAGTCTTCCGTTAGGTTGAGATTGAATGGCGCCCAGATTTTTAAGAGTTTTTCGTATAAAACGTTGGGAGCACCGCTAATTTGATCGTGATCTGAAAGAAATTTTTCATACATGAATTATGTATTGATGTTAATAAAACCATTTCATACACACGAGAAACCAGCAAATTAGAGTTGTTATAGATCTTAATTTACCAAATAAATCATTATTTCCAAGTGTAGGAATCTTTGAACTCATTAATTAGAATAATTGATAAAAACGATAATGCGTAAATGGAGAGACTGATCTCATTCACTTACAAATTGTGTTTTATTCAAATCAAAGACTTTCCCGAAGTTCTCAACAGCAAGCTCATGCGATCGCAATGTCTCCTTATGAGTCCTCGGCAATTTCTCATCTCGATCATGTCGCAACGTGTCACCAGTATAAATCACGAAATCCAATTGATCCTTAAATTTATTCTTTAATAAGCTCATGGTCCCCTCGTACGTATTACAAGGCGTATCACATCCCGATTGCAAAGTACCAAATACACCCGCCATATTGAGATCGTTCTCTGTCGAGCTGCGATGACATAGTTCCGCGGGATCAGTGTGTGGTCGGTAAAGTGGATCAAAGTGTAAATCTTGTTTTTTTATCAATTAATTTATTTATTTAATTTGATGATGTATAATATAGAATTTAATAAGTTTCCTGATTTTTTTTACCGGTTATATGTAAGAATTTTCCTGTTTCGGCGGCAGGGATTGTAGAAGGGGAGAATTTAGTAGTCTGTATGGATATCTCTTTTTCGTGTTGTAGCACTATCGCTTGAAATGAATGCTTATTGTATCCATGAGGAAAAGCTTCAATTAAAGCGTTGAGTAAAAGAGAAACCAGTATAATTGATGCTCTAAAGAATAGTAATGCATTATTATTCATTGTGATAATTTGTTAACTTGAAACATTCGAAGAAGGCAGAAAGAACAGGGAAATAAAAGATATATGGATTTACTAATAATTCTTACCAGCTATATATATATATGTGTGTAAAATGTCGTAATAATTCTTAAACATGATTTTTTTACGTGTAAGTCTAATTTAACAAGGTTTTCGCGAGTGATCGACAGGAATAATATTAATTGGTTCATAATTGATGTCGATTCTTACAATTTCAGCTTATAGAAGATAAGAGATAAGACGCCCAACGCTAGCACAAATTTTCTTTAGAGGGCTAAATTCTATCACAAATCCGGATTTCCCCCCAAAAATATTCTAGTATAATTTACCAAGTAATACTGCCGATTTCTCACAGAGAGGCATTTATTCCTTCAATCATAGGATCGAGATATACCTTAAAAAAATATTCTTCTAATTTTAATTAAATAAGAGAAAAACTAAAAGTTCATGTGATCTTTTAAGATGCATATTTTTAAATTTGACTTATGGTAACCGTGTCTTGGTCGGTTGAAAGTGCTTTTATGATGGATATGATCTCCTCAATTTTAGTGTCGACACCTGGGGTAATAACGATAGTTTCCAAGGTCACAATAAACTTTGCATATTGAGCAGAATACTAAAAAAGAATAAAAATAATAATTATGTTTGCATTTGATTTGTCGCAAAATAAAAAACCTTATGAAACGTACCGCTCGTCCCACTTCCCTAAAAAACCCATAGGCCCACCAAAACCACCACTGAGAAGATAACAGATCTTCGATCCCGTGATCTCCGTGCTCTTTCAATTTATTAGTAATCGTTTTAGTGAAACTTTGAAACACTGCAAGCAAGACTTCCTTTTGTTCCTTCAAGACCATGTTCAAAGAATTTTCCAAGTTTTGTATTGTTTCATTATTATTACTTTCGGTCCCTTGGAACGGCTCTTTTTATTCGATGTTAAATAGTGAAAAGACGCGAAATGTAGATAGAAAAACAGGAATTAGTTTGGAATATACCTTTAGAGATTTCTTCATTATTTTCTAACTGAGAATTTCGTAATTTTTCTATCTTAGTTTCCAATTGCAAAACACGCGAATTCATTTTATTTAAAGTGTTTT